GGCAAAAAATTTTAGAAAATATTCCAAATTTAGTTACTATAATTTGAAAAGCCCATCTCAAAAAATGCTTAGATGTTCTTTAAGGAGTGCTTATATAAATATGAATTGAAAAGTCCTCAACTGTGTGCTAAACAACCATAAAAATCATCTAAATACCAGAGAAAGTTAAGAAAGGGATATTACACAGGATGCCAAAATGAAGAGGAAAAAAAGAAGAAACTGAAAGAAACAAATTAAAAAAACCCCCTTGTACTAGTATCTGGATTGGTTAAAAAAGAAATTCTACTGAGCTTGATTTCTGATTGAATTATCATTAGATGTAAAATGCAACCTAAATCATATTAGGTTACCTTGGGGTTGTGTTTTTTTCTCTCACCACAAACATGGATCCTTCATTCATCTGTGTATTTGGGCAGACTACTGAGGCTGTAAAATCTAGATACCATTTTTGCAATATTATAATTACTTAAATACACTTCTTTCCTTACTTCTCCCTTTCCCCAATAAACAGATCTTCAATACTTTAAATGAGTTGCTGCGATGACATCCAGTCGTTAGTTAGCACATGATCAAATCTGTAGAAGGTTTTAAGAATACAAAGAAACTTAGTCTGTTAAAATGAGGCATCCTCTACTGTTTTATGTAATGTACCCTGACTGCTCCTGAGTAAGAACGGAGCTCGTCCTCCATGAGATAAGGCTATATCCTCACTTGTTGGTGAGACCAAATTCTACCCTTAGAAAATCCCCCAAATAAAATTACAGCAAAGGTAGTGTTACAAAGTAATCAACCAAAGCATTTCTGAAGGTAGTGTGTGCACATTTTCCACCTCCTTTCCCTCTGGGTGAGCACTAAATAGATTGCTGATTTGTTGAGTAAATTTAATAGAAGAAAATCATAAAATGTAAATTGACCTAAATAATTACATATCATTGAATAACCAAATTTCTTAAATTCCAAGGTTCACTGTTCTTAGAATTTTTCTTTAGCTTAATCCTTCAATTAGTTGAATTGTAGAAGAGAAACATGAATGATTTTATGAGATGGCTTTCCAATTTATAATGATAAAGCTCCCAGTATATGACAGAGGTGGTTTCTAAAAGGGGGCTTTTTCCTTTTTTTTTTTTTAAATAAAGGCAAATATAACTTAAGAAGAAAAAAAAAAACAGAAAGAAAGCATGCAGGCTCTACAGGCAAGGAGTCCACTTCCATGTATCTGTTCTCTGTGAGGTAACTCAATTCTCTTTTGTAGAGAAACATGCAAAAGGCCAAACAATATCCCGAGCCATACTGCACATGAAAATTTTAAAATATGCAACATTCAGAATGCACCTTTTCACCTCTGTACACACAAGTCAATGCAAAATCTGCAAAGAAACAAGTGTCACAGTAAATGAAGTCAGGCGCAAGCAATGATAGCTGAACAATGCAGTAGCGCTCACCCAGTTTGTACAGTAATTGGCACTCTACAGTATTCCTACTCATTTTTTGATTCATTTGCACTTTGTGCTGCCTCTCCCTGGGGATCTAATTCAATCTTTACAGAAACATCTGGCCCCTCCGACCTCATTAATTTCATCTTTTTCTTTGGAGGGTTTTTCAAAGTGCCCAGCCTCTCCTTTACTTTGTACTCCAGTGTACTGTGGGGAATCCCATAAATACTCTGAGCTTTGGAAACACTCATTTTTCCACTCATAACCACTGAGATTGCTTCCTCCAGTATCTCACTGTTGTACTGTCTGTAACGCCCTCGTTTCTTCCGAGGCTGCTTGGAGCCAGGGTCTCCTTCTTGATCCGATGTGGGATATGGCTGTCCAGAGGTAGACTGCTCAGCATCTGAGCCCCAAGAATCGGGTCCAGCATCTAACATGCTTTTTCTATTTTGTTTTGGAAGAATAGCCCTTAACTTTTTACTAAGCGCGCTCTCCGTTTGTGAACCCATTACCAAAGAGCTATAGCTGTACTGATCACCAGTGCGAGACTCCCAAGAAAGATCCATTCCTCGAACTTGTGGTATCTTTAAATCTACAGGAGATGCATGGCTCGCATCCTTTTTTCCATCTTGTTTTGCTTGAAGTGCCATTTTTGGAAAGGCAGAGTTTTCTGCAAGAAAAGGAAGGTCACTGATGTTGCTGAGTGCACCATTTCCCCTGAACTTCATACGGCTGAGGTTGAACTCATAATGTGGTTTTGCCCAAGAGGCTTCCCTGGATAATATTAAGTGTTGTCCATGATTCTGTAATCCAGATGGCCCAAGGCTGGCAGCTGTTGACAATTGGTTTCTGCTCAGTAGCTCTTCACTAATCTGCAGGGATCGAGCCAATGGAACTTTGAGTGATGTGGAGTGTCCAAAACCTTCCCTGGTTCCATCCTGTAAGCTTCTTGGAGGTACCCCATCACCACTCCGAAGTCCGTCTGGGCGGTACTGGCTGGGTCTCCCAGGTCGCCTAATTGGATGGAAGGAAACTGATGTGAGCAGGACTTGCACAGGTAGGGAGGGATGGGTGAGGGGACCACTCCTTTATTAGAAGGCCTTGCTTGGGTAACATCACTTTGTGTTATTTATTTATTTTTCTCTAAAATTAAAAAAAATGGTCTCAGCAGTTAGTTTTAAAACTTGTTCACAAAAAAAGAAAAAGGAAAAAAGAAAAAAAAAAAACCAGGAGCTTTGTGGGCAAAGAAAAATTAAACCTGTCAGCTGGTCTCTGGTTGGGTTCACAAATTTTCGGAGAAAAAGTTTCGCGCAACTGTCTGAAGATAGCACCTTAATTATTAATTACAAAGTAATCATCGAGTCTCCATAGATCTACACAGAATTGTGTTACCAATGTGACGTTACCACTAAACAAGTACAGTAATAAAAGAGTAAGCCAAATTATTTATTTTAATGCAACATATTCAACATTCATGACAACCAGCTATAAAACTGGAAGCATTTACATTAGTGGAACCCATAGATAATTGTTCATTTATCCCACAAACAAGCTGATATTCATTATCAAAAAACCAAACAAGTTCAAATAACATTTCTTATTTTGCTTGGGGAAAAATATGGCTACCAGCCCCAAAGGGCGGGGAACCCCAAACCAAATTACCCATCGCATTTTAACTTACCACATCTTCATTTTAAAACACTATTAGCTGCAGACACCTGAGTACCACTATTTTTCCATTTGAAATACTCCAGTCTTTAAAGAACTGCCTTTTATTTTCCCCAAACTTTGTTCCTTAAGTTTTACTCAACGTAATTACTGTCAGAGGTATATAAACAATTTTAAAGCAGTTTTCTTTAGTTAAAATAGTCTCTTCTTAAAATATCAAACATCAATTTTGAAATTTTAAGTGGACAACTTTCAAATAATATTTAAAAGTCAACTACTTATACAAAGTTAATTCATAAAGTTTCCGTTTTTCACAAGGTATAAAGATTATCACTGATAAAATTGGCAACTGGTAAAGCATGCCCAAGGGGAATAATTACATTTACTAGGCACAAACGTGGAACTCTGAAGAAATGATAAACCAACTATATTCTCCAAAAGTCTACAGGGACCCTGTGTTGTTATCAGTATAAAACATAATAAAGGTAACAATGATTAGTCAACTAAAAGATGGGCAATCTATTGGTGCTTTTGTCTTCCAGAAAACGATACCACATAAAAAACATTTTTTTTTTCCATTCAGAGGGAAAAACACAGCAACTTCAACCATATAATACACCATATAATACATGGAGTTGGTGGCCAAGTTTAAAGTAAATCTTAGGCGAGGGATTCATTTATACAAACCACAGTTAAGCTTCTACATGTGTCCTCAATTACACAATCCAAGTTTTCTGATATATAAAAATGGAATCCAATGATTTGGGACCACAAGGACTTGTATCTAGTATTAACTATATGAAAAGGAGGGCTTAAGAAAAAAAGGTTAGTAAACTATGCAAACTGCATTAAATCAAGAAGTTACTTTTAGATTGCATAAAGGAGAGAAAAAGAAAAATGATGGAATTTTAGAGAAAATAAAGGCAGCATTTTAGGAAGTCAGTAAAGGAATCCTTCAATTTGAAGGTAATTAAGAGTAAGTTGGAAAAAAAGGTTAGTCCATTTAGTGTGTGCTTATTGCTTTAACATCTAAACAACTTGCTTTCCTATGTTGATATTCTAAAAGTTAATAAACCTAAATATTACCTAATTTAGCTTACCAAAGTGATTTTTCATGAATGAAGTTGATTTTTGGTCACAACACAATTTTACGGAAATTCCTTCCCAATATGGCATTTAAATGTCTTCATTAATCTGGCTTTTCTAAATGGTTTCTATGTACATGCAGAGGGAGAATTAAGACAATTCTTACACTATAAAATTAGGTGGTGGGAAAATTCACTTTTATTTCCTAAGAGTTATGAAAACTGAGCAAATAATGTCTTGGTAGCTTAAGATGATTATCCCAACATCTACAGTCTTAACCACTTAAAAAAAAAAACACATACAATTACGTTTTCTGAACTGCCACACAGTTAAAACTGCAGTTCAAATAAACAATTAAAACAAAACAAAACCAAAACAAATAAACAAGAAAAAAACGAACGGCCCCCACATACCTGCACATTTTATTAGAGATACCAAGTAAAATCCTGGACCCCAATTTTCATCCAACAACTTCAGCACACATAATACTGCCTTTACATCTAGAATACTCTGGAATTATTTAGGTTGGGTTTCCCACTCCCAAACACTCAACAACAGGAAGTCCCAAGACATTCTTGCCATATTTTCAATCATTTATTATTTGTACTAAGTTGGCAAACTTGATCTACACTAGTCAATTCTGTACTTCACAGACTGTCCTTTTACTTGATCAGCGGACTAAGTAATTTACTAAAGGCCTACTTATAACAGTAACCCTAAAGAATTTTTAAAACATATAAAGGAAATTTTCACCAATCTCTCATAAAACTGTCCCCTAAAGAACTGTAAAATTCTACAAATATTTTCCCTTACCCGTTCCCTTGAGTACTGGAGCAGCCTGGAGAATGGCTCAGGGAAGTGCTGCCAGCACATGGACTTTTCTTAGTGGACAGATCAAGTACACCGTCTGTGGAGACACAAACACATACCTGAGGATATTAAAAACTAGGAACGTGTACTGAATAGACTAAAAATGACAAAGCAACAGGCCCAGTCAACCAAGCAGATACACTAGCTATATATGTAAGACAGGGTATCTTCCCTACTAAAGGGACATACATTTAGCAAAGCTTGTTATATCTAATACCTCCAAAGATTAAATATTTTATTAATAGGGCAAAAGAAAAGGTATAGTCTAACACTGAAGGCATTAGGATATAGTGAGGTATTAGAAATCGCAGTTTACACAGTGTGTAAATAGAACTATTCAACTTCGTTTTCAAAATTTGCCTTTATCAAACCATATGAGATTTCAGTGCCACATCATACAAATTATAAACAAAATTCCTCAAGAGCTAAAATTCTATCCAAAACACTAAAACAAACATTAAAGTTGTATTTAGAAAATGTTATGTGGCACAAATAATCTTAAAACGTAAGTTTCTATGGTTAAATTACTTGTATACACAAGATAGTCTGTAAGATGAATCAGATGTTAACTGTTTGTAATTTTCATGTGTCCTAATTAATTACTCTTTGGACACATCTGCAAAAAACTGTATACTTGAATTCAATCTTCTGAATAAAATCTGCAGAGATTCAAAATTCCCTTCTTGCTATTTATAAAGGCAATGTTTTACAATTAATAAGCTATTACAAACTGGTGAGCAAAGTTTAAGGAAAAAAGAATGAAATTGTCTTTATACTGATGACAGCCTAGAGATTTAATCATTTTTTGTTGAAGCTAGACCAAATAACAAACTTATGTTATTAGAACATAAAATTAGAAGACTTTCTTTTCCCACAAAGACTTCTTTCCTTCATAGTCATGTCTAGAAAAGAAAACTCATCATCTAGGCAAGTTTGAAAGTTGCTATTCTGTCCAAAATTAACAGAGCAAGCTAATAATCAATGCCTCTGATTTTCAGCTGGTGAGCGGAGAGGCCTTTCTATCTAGTTATGTTAAAAACTGCCCCAGTATATAACCTAAGCAGGATTTTTGTCTGAGCACACTGTAACTCCTGATTTCAGGCTGTTAGAAATATGTGACTGAGCTTGTAAACCAAAAATCCCACACTCATCCAGAATAATTGTTGTCCTTTAGTGTCACCAATATTTCTAAAAGTACAGTTGTAATCTTATAGGACACAAGTATCCCATTAGACATCTTAACCCAATTAGACATCTAACAAGCAAACACACTGCTTAAAATATTTCCAACCAAAGACACTATTATTTAAAGACTTCCCAGCTTGGGGCGCCTGGTGGATCAGTTGGTGGAGCATCTGACTTCAGCTCAGGTCATGAGCTCATGGTCCGTGAGTTCAGGCCCCACATCAAGCTCTGAGCTGTCAGCATAGAGCCTGAGGCCTGCTTCAGATTCTGCATCTCCCTCTCTCTCTGCCCCTCCCTCATTCATGCTCTGTCTCTCTCTCTAAAATAAATAAACATTAAAAAAAAAGACTTCTAAGCCTGTCTAATCATCAAATAGGCAACATATTTTAAGTCTACCTAAATATACTAAATATACTGTGGTTTCCTTGAAAACACTTGAAAATGTACCTGGGAAATATAATTTTTAAATTTGTTTCACTTGAAGTCTATACACTATAATTCTGTCATCTAGCTCAAATTTCTCTTGATTAAGAGCATACTGTCAGTACAATGTATCTCAAGCACAGCACCAACTACAAGTTAAATTTCTTTATATGTCAGTTAATCTCTATCATTAATATTTTAAATACAATGTCTATGCTCTCATTCTCCTATTTAAAACTTGAAGATTTTAATGCAATATTTAGAGCCAAAAAATTTTTAGGGGTGCCTGGGTCAGTTAAGTGTCTGACTTAGGCTCAGGTTAAGATCTCACAGTTTGTGATCACGTTTGAACCTCGCATCTGGCTCTGTGCTGACAGCTCAGAGCTTAGAGCCTGCTTCGAATTCTGTGTCTCCCTCTTCCTATGCCCCCACTCCCACCTCTCTCTCTCTCAAAATATGAATAAACATTTTTTTAAAAAGACTTTTATTTTTATTTATTTTTTAAATATTTTTATTTATTTTTAGGAGAAAGAGAGAGCGAGCGAGCGAGCGAGCAGGGGAGGGTCAGAGAGAGAGGGAGACACAGACTCTGAAATAGGCTCCAGGCTCTGAGCCGGCAGTCAGCACAGAGCCCGATGCGGGGCTCGAACCCACTAACCGCGAGATCATGACCTAAGCGAAAGTCGGGACGCTCAACCAACTAAGCCACCCAGGCACCCCTAAAAAAAGACTTTAAATGAAAGCTACCAATCTTTGGTTAAGATAATCCTCAATAAAACAGAAAAGCACCATTTTGCAAATATGGTGACCAAAGGTATACTGATCAATGTGAACATAGGACAATGAGGAATTCTACTAGGAAATCTCTCAGAATTTTGAAATTACGATTGCTGTTCATTACCCAGAAACAGAAAAAAAAGGAAAAAAAAAAAACACTATTTAAAAATGTATTCTTTAATCAACTAAAGCCAGTCCATTAAATATAAATCCTTCTTAAATTACTTATAAGAAGCAAAAGAAAGTCTTTTCTAAGAGGTTCTTCATATGAATTAAACTTACTTTGAGCAAAATGAACATGTATTTCTCATCAATAAATCCATACATCTCATAACTTTCTGAACACTTTTATGAGATTTCTAGGACAATGAACTCTCACTAGAATAGACATCACCAATTTACAATCCATAATGGGTCAAACAATGGCAGAGTTGAAATGCTCATTTCATCTTTGTGAAATTAAGTTTCTTTTTTTAAACGCAAACAATACATATTCTTACCATGCAATTTCATTTGCAGAGTATAACCTCTACCTAACAAGATACATGTATTTTCTCAAATAGGTGCTAATTCTAGAACACTGATGGACTGTGGGAGCACTTATTTTTCACAGAGGTTTTAAAAACAATGGATATGGCAATGCTTTGGAAAATATAAAATAATTATAAAAATATCAAGTAATTTAAAGATTAGTAACAACTGAAACCACCTAACTTTACTGGGTGGTAGATACACTGATCATCACTACAAACTACTGATATATAATATATAAAATAGCCATTTTATTTGGACTTCTCTTATCAATGCATAGTCAGGAGTAATTTAAGAATCAAACTAGTTTTTATCCTATTGTTATCCTGGTACACTACTTGCCACTGATTTTTTTTCTCCCCAAATTATTCTGATTGGACAGAGGAGACCTTGACATCAAACCATACCTTGTTCGCTAGGTTCTGACTGAGACTTTCTGACAGTAAGGTCCAGAGGTGAGTCTTGGTCAGCCATGAGAAGTTTGCTGAGCACAGGGTTCTGAGTAGTTGCAGCCGTGGGAGAGGTGGTGACTGGAGATGCTTTCGGCAGGCTTTGGTTCTTTGTGCTATTGGGCTGGCTGGGGTCCTGAGTAGAGCTATTTTTTGAGGTATATTCAGCAGCAAATTGTTGGATCATTCGCTGCATGATCTCACGGGCCACTAGGGGAATATTGGGGTCGGAGACCCAGGGACTGTCTGTAAACAAAGATTTATTTACTTTTAAATTGGGACAATGGACTACCAAAAAAAAAAAAAAAAAAAAAAAGACAGCTTTCAAGCAAACATAAAATTTCATTTTCTCTTTTTTTCTTAAAATGCAATCTCCTAAAAAATAGTATTCCCTCTCAGAATTATATTTTTAAGCTCTAAGCTTATGAGCTACAGATTTTTAGGGTAAAATTTTCATAAAATCATTTCTAAACACCCTCCTCAGTATTATGAAATTGAATAAAGCAATAACAAATAGTATATCTTATGGGCAAGAATCACTTACCTGATACAGAAATCTCAAACCCTTCTTTTAAGAATTATTTCCGTTTATTATCACCTATAGATCACATCTGGTTTTTCCTAGACCTTTCCTCAGCCATCTCCTCCTAAGTGGATTACTCAGTTCATGAGTGCATAATCTACTTTCTATTAAAGATGGAAGGCATACCAAAATTATAAAAGGAGATACTTTAATATAAGGTCCATGACAGACTGGGGCAATAGCCTTACGTTTTCAAGTTCATAACAATCACTTTGAGGGCTTGTAAAAACAGACTGCAGGGTCCTATCCCCGGAGTTACTGATTTAGCAGTTCTAGGGTGAGCTCAAGGACTGGCATTTCTAGTTATGTTTCTAGACGCAGCTTATTGAAGGATCAAATTTTTAGAACCACTAGGCTATGAGTTTAAATGCCAAATCTCAAAGTTTAACACCATGTATTTTCCATGAGTTCTTTAAATATACTCTGCCAATCATGAAACACAATAGCTAGGGAGTTAATGAAATAAACACCTAAGTTATCAATTTCTAGTCCATGTTAATTTTAAAACAAAGACCACATGAATTCATTAACTCATAGAACTTTCAGCACTGGGAAGGACCTTGAAGGTCGAATGGGGCAAAATAAAAGGAAAAATGTTTGGTATAAATACATCATCACATCTCTATCATTACCACACTCTCAGGGAGACTAAGCTTCTCAAGAGCAGAGATTATGCTGGTTTACCTCTGTATACTCAGCATCTAATCTTGCCTGGCATAAAGTATGCATTCATATTAGTTGAGAAATAACTGGGATCAGTCAAATCAATCAGAATCAAATAGGTGTTTTTTTCTTTAGACCAATAAGGTTAATGTGTCTAAAGAGTAAGTGGCCTCTTCAAATTCGTATAATAGTGGTAGACCCTTGATTAAAACACTCCCCCTGATCTTAATGTTCACCTGTGACCTTTACTTCCATAACACACTTCAGAGGTTTTAGAAGACATTTCTCAGAAAACCTGAGTTTCCTTGGTCTTTTAATGACTAACTACAGAAGGTAAATACTTTACCTATAATATGTTGGAGCTGTAAGGGAATTAGGTTGATTTATCAATTTAGAGATAAACTTATTACAATCAAAATCTAAAATCTCCACAACACACACATCATCAAAATATCATGGGACTACTAAGAACAATTTTCCCCCCCATAAAGGCAACATTCAAAACCAGAAGACAGTCTGAAGTCAGAATATTTAATTCTCTGGAGTTTAATGAGGTTTTCCTCTTCTCTATAAATAGATACTGAGTATGCCAGAGGTTTGAGAATCAAAGTATTCAATTAAGGTTCAGAAATCATTATGAATTCCTTAAATGTTTTAATAAACATTTTAACCATACATTACTTCTTTAAAATCTCTACCCATTGAATAATTCTTAATATTAATATAACTTTCCACTTAAGATCTATCCTCTAAAGACTGTATGTAATTTCAAGTTTTATATATTAATGTATCTTCTTATCCCTTATAACACATAAAGAAGAAAGTCTGCAAATAGGAAGAGTTTAACTAGATTCATAAATATAATTAGATATATGAAGAATCAGAGATTTTAAGATAAAAACCATAAACTGCTATCTCTGAGCTTTAAATGACTGCAGTATATCTTGCCTGTTTGTAGAATGAAGAACATAACCATAAAACACAATTCATATTTACAAATTGATGACACAGCTGCTGTTTGAATTTCTACATGTTTTGAAAAGTTTCCTGAACACATTTCATTCTTTCACTTACTTAAAACACAACTTCTATAATTCTAGACATGCCTTGGGGAACATGCACAATTGAGCCAAATAAAAACCACAAATCAGGTCAAAATTAACACTACAGGAAAACAAGTAAATGCTACATCATGGCCACCTGTGTTTTAAAAATGCAAATCTAACTTTTAGAAAAGTGTCAAATTTTCTAACACAAGTGATAAAAGCAAGCTGAAAAGAATTTGATAATGAGAGTTGTAGAAGGTATACTGTTCATAAGCTAAAATTCATTACTGAGTCCATGACACAAAAGCCTACTTTTACTGCACCTATGTTCCTACTTAGCTTACAGAACCATTCATACTCATTTAAGATGCACAATTCACAATAGCTGGAAACAAAGAACTAAATCCAAATCTCTGAACTATTTATATACATTTTTGGCATAACTTGCAGAGTACTACTGGCTATCTCTGAGACATTTCCATGAAGATTAATACAATATTTAAACACATCAATATTAATACATAAAACAAGGGGAAAGGAACTTCTAATAGCAAAGCAATAGTTCTTTTTCTGAATATCATATGCCAGTATGCAAATACACAAACTTAACTTTACATACAGTTTCAGAAGATTTTCATCTTAAAGCCTACCCTAAGACTGATTCCAAGATAAGCATTCCTTCCCTCGTGTACCCAAAAGTTTAATTTTAAAATAAAATTTGTATGAACTTTAAGTTATTCTTACATGGCAAAGGGATGGGACTAGTAGAGAAATAGGCTAGAATTTTCTTTAGGAATATGCTTATGATTGACCTTATTAACTCCCTCCAAGCAAAGAGTGGATGAAAAGTGGTTTCTCCACGTATAGGAAGAGGAGTTCCTCTTTCCAGATAACGAAGACTGCTGCAGCATTAGGCCTATGACTCACTCAGTACACATCCTGAAGGACAGGAGCAGCAGAGGAGCTGTAAAGATACTTTATTTAATAAACTGACAGAATAAATCTATCATTTATACTTTAATGTGTACTTTAATAATCAAATGTTTATAAAACTAAGAAAATTACTATTTGGAACATAATTTTAAAATTCAGGGTACTTAGGGGATGATAAAGTGAGCATGGGAGCCTCAGTTGGGAGCTGTAGGTCAGAGGATGCTGAGGTTACTAAAAGAGAAGTGAGGATGTAGTGAAAGATTTAATTTTGCATAGGGATCCGATGGAAGGGAAAAAAGGTGTCACTGAAAACAATAATCTTGTGCATTCCTTAATTTTATAGACATTTCACTTCATACTTGATTTTGAAAATACTGACCACATTAAGCAGAACATCAGCTGTTTTCCAACTATAACCAACCAATTAGAATAGCACTTTATCAGGCTTTCAACCAGTGTAAAGGCAAAAATCACCCTTCATATTTCAGAGGGAAGGAGGGAATTCCCAAAAGAATAAGAGGTATAAACTAGAACATATAAAAAGCATTAAAGAAGGCAGAATCAGTGAGTCTGCTGAATATTAAACAAGGATTAAGTGTTTAGGGTCATCAGGAGTTTGTAGGAAACTTTTAGAACCTATCACAGTAACCTCCATCGTGGAACTAAAGGAAAGACATAACTTAAGGAATACAAATCCATTCAGAATTTCTTGAAGGTAAAGACTTCACTAGAACAGGTCATGGAGGAAACGAAGCTTTCTGAAGGTCTCGGCTGATGGCAATTAGGTTTTGTGAACAGAGAAACAAAATGTAAATCATGTTTACAAAAGTTTTAAGGAGAAAAATAAATTGAAAAATATAAGAGGTGGAGCTATTAAATACCACCTCAAATGTAAGGCGGAAAGCTTTTATTATTATAATAATGAATTCCTTTCTCTAATTTTAATAATTTAAAGAAATTTTAGTGAAACAAGGCTACATCAAGGGAAAAAATGCCTGTAAATCTGATTTTGAGATACAAACTTCACATGTCTCCAAATGAAATTTCAACAAGGAATTACTAACATTTTATACAAGTTGGTTTTATGGTTATCTGCAATTAAAACTGTCACTATGTATGTAAGGAAATTTGACAAAATACAGTACTACTGAGACCTTAGAATTTTCAGACTTTCATGAACTATTTATTTAACTACTAAAACTTACATGGCTCCATCACTTCAGACTGAAAAGGAGGGAAGAGAAGTTGCCTTAACCTATTCCAAATTTAACTTGACCAAAGGAATATAGTGTATTATCAACATAGAAAATTGTCTTACAGTAACTTTTTAAAAATGACATTAAAATTAAGAAAATATAAGACAAGCAGATGCTAAACACCATTCTTCACTAGAACCAACCTTTTCTATAAAAGACTGCATTGAGGAACTCTTCTGCTTGTCTCTCGAATCGAATGATTTTTGCTTGCTCTTGTTTAAGCAGAGCTTCTTGCCCAGCTCCCGAAGCTGGTTCATCCAGACCGACTAAGTGTCCCTGCAAAAATATTTGGTGAAATATTTGCACGAAAATCTTTCCCCATTCAGTATCAAAAGCACAGATGAAAAATCAAAGACAAATGTTAGTAAAAGACATGACAAATCCGTTTAAACAATTAAAATATCTTAAAACTTCAAATCAGAATAAAATTTATCTTCACAAATGTATAAAAAGCAAAGTGAATTTAAAAATATACTTTGGGTGGTTTTTATTTATCTTATGAGTTTTGTTTAAAACTTACAGATAAACTCTAATTAAACTAACATTACTAACAGAATATTTTTCTTGAGCATTTAAATCTATCAGTTCTTACTACACCATACAGCAAGAGTTCACAGACAATTCAACTCCGACAAAAAGATAGCTTAAACCCTACATATTATTTGAGAATCATGTTTGTACTCCTAGTATAAGATGTTTTCTCCAGACACAAAACAAAAATTTTTTAAAGGGCCATTAGAAGGGAAAACTCAAAAGAATGTTTCTGAATTCATAATTCTGTCCTCAGAATACAATTTCATAAACTGTAGCTTTCAAATGTTTAGAGTTGTGAAATGAATACATTAAAACTGGCTCTAGAAAAAAGAATTTAAAATAGACTCCATTACATGTTCTAACAGTAAACATTCCTATATATGCTTAATCATGCTTACAATATAAAAATGTTGTCTTGATCAAAAAGTTTCAAAATGCCACACTAGACTCATCCTAAGACTCCCAGAATCTGCTCTCAGGCTGCAGGAGCACTAGATGAGGTTGATAATGTTTTGCACTTACTTCCACTCTTATAGCTAATGAACAGGAGACTAAAGTACATCTTTTAAGTGCTCTTTCAATGCATATAACTTACTTCAAATCATTGCAATGTATCACCACATGCATATATACTTCTGGCATGGAAAATGTAAAAGTACTCTAAAGTACTTAGAAGTACTTAAAAGTACTCTAAGAAAATTTGGACACACTGACACAGTGAAAAGGAAGTAAACAGGAAACTGAAGGTACATTATAATCCACAATTTTCTCAAAGATTTCAAATACATGCAATGACATGTGCAATCAGCTTTTTATGATTTCCCCATTGTCCAAACTGTGTCAAAAACAACCAAAATATGAATTTTGCAAAGACACATTCAGCATCAATTATATATTACAAATAGTTTCATATGAAGAACTTTCTTGCATAATCAAACTAAAACAATCATCCCATAAAATTTCCATATTATAAGGTTTTTTTTTTTTAATGTTTTATTTATTTCTAGGAGAGAGAGCGAGCGAGCGAGAGCGAGCGAGCGAGCATGGGAGGGTCAGAGAGAGAGGGAGTCACAGACTGAAACAGGCTCCAGGCTCTGAGCTGGCAGTCAGCACAGAGCCCGACGCGGGCCTCGAACCCACGAACTACGAGATCATGACCGAAGCGAAAGTCGGACGCTTAACCGACTAAGCCACCCAGGCGCCCCTAAAATTTCCATATTAGACATATTATGTGTGCCACATAAAAAAAAATTGTGTTATAAAGTCATTACGAAAACCTTTATTTTTATTTATTTGTATATTTGTCTGTTTTTAAGTACATTTCCCCAGCCCAGCATTGAGGCCAATATGGGGCTCGAACTCACGACCCTGAGATCAAGACCTGAGCTGAGATCAAGAATTGGACACTTAACCAACTAAGCCATCCAGGTGCCCCGAAAAGCCTTTATTACAGTTGTGTTTGCCAACATTCTCTTTTGTGGCCTAAGGAAATTATTAAGTAATTTTTAAAAATGAATCACAAAATAATATAATTTTGATATAGATTTAACATCCAAAAGGCATCAGGAATAAGTATTAAAGAGCCCAATAAAATCCTCAATTGTATTATATTTTAATGGCATTTCATTGTTTAGTGATTTTTAAAATCAGACATTACATGGTATAAACTATACGTAACTCCTACATTCAATCAGTTTAGTCAGTCTTTCAGCAGAATATCTTTACTTTTCATGTTTTAGAAACTTATAATGAGAGAAGATGTTAGTTGAAGGACCCATTGTACACAGTGTAGTTTCAGTGTGTTAAGCATATAGCTATTCCCACTGGTTCTACTTATTCATTTACACATACATGTATCCTTTCTTTGTCCTTCCAAGTTTTTATTTAAATTCCTGCTAGTTAACATACAGCGTAATATTAATTTCAGATATAGAATTTAGTGGTTCAACACTGACATACAACACTTGGTGCTAACCACAAAAATAAAGAACACTTCATGAATCTGTGTCATCCTTGCATAGGGGCCATGCTAATCTTTTCTGTATTGTTACAATTTTAGTATATGTGCTGCCAAAGCAAGCAAAGAAATATCTATTCTTAAATTCGTAAAGAATGTTTAAAGTATTCTTAAATTCTTAAACATGTTTAATGTTGCATTCAGGCTACTTTCTAATCTAAATCAACTCACAGCAACTAACAGCACTCAGGAAGGAAATCGTTGCATGTATTTTCTTGAATTAAACAATTAATTACCAATTTTATCAACCTGGACTCTGAAACCTTCAGATAAATTTTAGTTGCTTCATATTAATTATGGCCACACCTATTTGTTTTGTTTCTAAACAGTTTTACTGAGATATAATACACATTATCATAATGGTTTTTTGGGGGGCAGCTTCACAGAAGTGTGGGACCATCACCATGATAAACCTTAGAACATTTTTGTACCCCAAAACATTAACAGTCACTCACTTCCCTTCTCCCACTTGCCCCAACCTTAGGCAACCATTGTATTACTTTTTGCCTCTCTATAAAGACTTGCTTATTCTGGACATTTCATATAAATGGAATTGTGCAATATTTATGCTGTGAGCCGTGTGCAACTTCTTCCTCCTAGAATAATGTTTTCAAGGTTCACCACATTGTAGCAGATACCAGTACTTTGTTCCTTTTTTATTGCCAAATAATATTCCATTGTATGGATATAGCATATTTTATCCATTCATCAGTTGATAATATTCATTTGGATTTCTTTTTGGCTACTATGATACAAATAATGATGCCCTCAGTGTTTGCGTACAAGTTTTTGTGTATTTTTATTTTTCTTGGATATACATTTATGAGTAGAATTTCTAGATTGTATATTAATTACGTTTACCATTCTGAAAAAGTACACTGAACCATCTTCCAAAGCAGGTGTACCATTTAATATTCACACTGTTGTGAGGGTTCTGACTTCTCCACATACTCATGAACACTTGCTATCATTTTTATTACTTCCTTTCTAGTACACGAGAAGTGGTGCCTAATGGTCTGACTTAGATTTCCCTAATGACTAATGATGTTGAACATCTAATTGGTCATTTAAATATCTTCCTTGGAGAAATGTCTATTCATATGCTTTGCCCAGTTTTTAACTGAGTTATAATGTCAGAGTTGTAAGAATTCCTGATATATTTTGGATACAATTCCATTATCAGATATAAGATTTGCAAATATTTTCTCCCATCAATAAGCTTTCTTATCACCTCACTGATGCTATTACTGTTAACAGTACAAAAGTTTTTAATTTTAATGAATTCCAACTTATTTATTTTTTGACATTTGTGCTTTTGGTATTATATCTAAAAAACTAGTGGCTAACCCAAGATCACAAAGATTTACTCCTATGTTTTCTCCTAAATGTTTTATAGTTCTAGAACTTACTTTTAGGTATGTAATCTGTTTCAAATAAACTTTTGTGTATGGTAAAAGGAAGGGGTCCAACTTCCTTTGTCAAAATCACTGACCATAAATTTTACTTCTGGATGCTCAGTTCTGTTCCACTGATCTACATATCCATCTGCTGGCCAGAAACACAGTGGTTTTGCATTTAGTTCAGATATTGGGAAGTGTGAGTTGTCTCTTCTTTTATAAGATTGTTGGTTATTCAGGCATCTCTTGAATCTTCACATGAATTTTAAAATCAGTTTGTCAACTTCTGCAAAGAAGCCACCAGAAATCTTGGTAGGGAATGCACTTAATCTGCAGATGATTTGGGGGAGTAATGCCATCTTCATAATATTAAGTGTTCCAACCTACAAACATGAGATACCTTTCTATTTACTTAGATATTTAATTTATTTCAACAATTTTTTAAATTTACAGTGTAGAAGTCTTAAATTTGTGTTAAATTTATTCCTAAATTTTCTATTCCTTTTGATGCTATAGTAAATGGAATGGTTTTCTTAATTTTCACGTTCAGAGTGTTCATTGCTATTGTATAGAAATACATTTTTTTAAAAATTCTGTATTCTACAACCTTGGTGAACTTATTAACTCTAATAGTGTTCTGTAGAATCCTTAAAAATTTCCATAGACAACATCATGCCATCTACAAATACTTTTACTTCTTTTGCAACCTGGGTAACTCCAGTCTCTTTTCTTGTTTAGAGAGAGAGCAAGAGACAGAGAGAGCACATACAAGTAGGAAAAAGAGGGACAGAAGGAGGGAGAGAGAGAAAGTTGCAGGGAGGGGGAAACAGGGAGGGAGGGAGACAATATCTTAAGCAGGCTCCATGTTCAGTGCAGAGCCCAACATGGAGCTCAATCCCATGACCCTGGGATCACGACCTGAGCTGAAACTAAGAGTCAAATGCTCAACCAACTGGGTCACCTAGGCACCCCTCTTTTTATTGCCTAACTGCCAAGGCTAGAGCCTCTGGTACAACACAGCATAGAAGTATTGAGAGTAGACAACTTTGTCTTGTTCCTAATATTAGGGGGGAAATGTTCCGTTTTTCACAATAGCTGTCTATTTTTGTAGATTAGGCTGAGGAATTTCTCTTCTAGTCCTAGTTTGTTGGGTGTTTTTTATTTTTTTTACTCACAAAAAGTTGTTGGATTTGGTCACTTTTTGTGGGGACATCCATTGTGAAGATCATGTGGTTGTTATTGCTGATTCTCATTAATGCACTGTATTACATTAACTGGTTTTGTGGTGTAAACCAATCTTGCAATCCTGAGAAAAATCTCATTTGGTA